GGCTGGGGGGGCGGGGAGGGGCCACTGCACTCCAGTCTGGGCGACAGAGTGAGACTCCAACTCAAAAAAAAAAAAAAAAAAGAAAATACAGTATGAGAGATTTAAAATGGTCCACCTCTCTAGGGCACTTACCATGAATGGAGCTTGCAGGACTGGAAGTTGCCCTGGGTGAGTGAGTGAATTTGAAGACCTAGGACATTACCGTATAATACTGTAGACTTCTTAAACACTATGTTTAGGCTATTCTACATTTATATAAAATAGTTTTTAGCTGGGCATGATGGCGCATGCCTATAATCCCAGCACTTTGGGAGGCCGAGGCAGGAGAATTGCTTGAGCCCAGGAGTTTGAGACCATTCTGGACAACATAGTGAGACCTAATTTCCACAAAACAGTAGCTAGGTATGCTTGCCTGTAGTCCCAGCTAGCTACTTGGGAGGCTGAGACAGAAGGATCATCTGGCCCAGGAGGTCAAGGCTGTGGTGAGCCATGATGGTCATGACTGTACCACTGCACTCCAACCTGGGTGACAAAGTGAGACTCCAACTAAAAAAAAAAAAAATTCCAAAATCTGGTCAAGATTCACATGTTGCATTTGGCTGTGACATCTCTAGTCTTTTAATCTAGGGCTGGTCTCCTGCTCTTTTCTTCTTCTCTTGACTGTGTGTGTGTGTATGTGTGTGTGTGTGTGTGTGTGTGTGTGTGTGTGTATGTGTGTGTGTGTCACAGTCTCACTCTATCGCCCAGGCTGGAGGGCAGTGGCACAGTCACGACTATCATGGCTTCCCACAGCCTCAACTTCCTGGGTTCAGGCAGTCCTTCCACCTCAGCATCCTGAGTAGCTGGGACTACAAGCATGTACCACCATGCACAGCTAATTTCTTTTTGTTGTTGTTGTAGGGACAGAGTCTCACTATGTTGCCCAGGCTGGTCTTGAACTCCTGGGTTCAAGCAATACTACCTCGGCCTCCCAAAGTGCTAGGATTAATAGGCATGAGCCACCTTCCAGCCTTCTCTTGACTTTGTCATTTTGTGAACTTTCCACAGTCTAAGTTTGTCTGGTTCTTTCTTCATGATGAGATGCAGGTGAAATACTCCTGGCAGGAGCACCCGTTGGGGAACATGGTGTCCTTTTATTGTACTTCATTAGGAGGTCCATGATGTCTGCTTGTCCCGCTATCCATGCCAAGAATGGCTTCCTGGAACATTTGAAGGTCTTTTTAAGATCTTGTTCCTGTACTACCTGAAGAGGGACTACTTTGGCATGGAGCCTGTGATGACTCTGGGACCACCCTCCCCGGGCCAAAGTGGTCACTCAGCGGCCTGAGCGCAGTCCAATCCATGTGACATGGACACGGCAGCTGGATCATAAAGGACAGTCCCATACTCATAATGGATGTGTTGGAAGACCTCTCAGTTGTTTAGACGTTTTGTGGGGAACAGCTACCTTAGAGGGTTGGATTATAATTGTACAAATATGCACATTATACATCCCTTCACTTATCTGTACTAGCAAAGGACACCGAGAGAGACTTCCAGATGTTGTCAGGGCTGGGCTAGTTCCAAGTGCCATCCTGGTGCACCATTAAAAATTGAGAGCTCTTAGCCGGGCTTGGTGGCTCAGCCTGTAATCCCGCGCCTTTGGGAGGCTGAGGTGAG